TTTTTTTTTCTATCAATTTTGCTGAATCTAGACATATATGATGGTTGCAATTTATGCTTTTATTTTTTATAAACCTTTTGTTGGATTTGCTTGATTTATATGGCAGTATATGCCTTTTTCTTTATGAAATATGAACTTGTTGCTAGCTTGCTTGCTGCACTTGCTTGACAATGACATGTATATATTGGCAGTGTTATTGTGTATATTTACTGCTTGTTTATCTTGCTTCAAAATTTTACTATATATGATTATTTGAGTTAGTTTTATTTGATGAATGTGGAAACCAGTGGAGTCTAAGTAGAGCCATGTTGAGCTTAATTTTGATTAACAAGTAGTGAAAATTTTGATTAACAAGCAGTTGAATAGATAATAGTTTTATTTTGCAAGGACTTCGAACACCCGCGAGTATGGGGATGGAGGTAATTTTTGACCTTCCGCCAAAAATCCACGCGGGAATCCCTGTACCCGCCATTGGTGGGGATGGGGATGGGGTCCCCGCCCTCATAGGGACCCATTGCCATCCCTGCAAAATAGTCTTTTTATTGCATACAAACACTAAAGTCAATGTTTTCAAAATCGAACCGGAGGTCAAACCATTTTGACCTTCGGTTCACGATTTTAATGGTTCAACCGATTTAACCGGTTAAAAAACCAAGTTGATTAAAATTTGAAAATATATATTAAATAAAATATAATGCAACTCATCTCAAAGAATTACTTGTGGCGTTGGTGATCAGAACTTTTAATTTTATTGAGGAGAATCACAGTTCGAATCCCACAAGCGGTAATGTTGTTCAATTTATGTAATTCCACCATAAATATATCTTAACACATAGTTTGACAACAAACTTGAATCATATCAAATGCCACGAATCTGGTTGAGCATCCAAGAGGGCTACTGTTCAAACCTCATCGAACTCATTTTCCCTTTAAAATCTTTATAACATTCTTTAAATGATATTCTTTGCAACTTACCTCACAAGAGAAAAGGTGGCCAAGTGGCAAATGGCTTGCTAACCCTTCATAAGACCTTGTGTTTGAAACCCAGTAGAGACAAATGTGTGAGAATTTTGTCCCAAGAGTTGACCCGACTAGTTTGACGGGTTACTGGTTCTCATCTATTTGGACGGTCTGAGCAGTTTTAAGCGGTTCAATAGCTTAAATGGTTTGAAATATTCAACCAACTCGTTTCTTCTACCGGGTGTCGGTCCAACCAGTTCAACCGATCGAACCGATCCGATTTTTAAAACCTTGACTAAAGTTACTAGGCCTGGACTCCGCCCTTAGAAATTTTAGTTAGTAGTTTAGCCCAAAAGGCTTCCCCACCACACCCACCCCCCACCCCAATCCAAAATCTAAATCCAAACTTGCGTTTCAAAAAGTAGGATTGAACATCGAGTACAAGTATATTTGATATTTAATCTAAATCTAAACTCATGTTTCAAAAATTAGGATTGAGCATCGGATACAAATATATCTAATATCCATAGATATTTGACTTATTTAGATAGGTATTTTATTTGTATTTGTGAAGAAACAGTTAAATATCAGATATGAGAAATGTATACCTATTAAGCATTGAGTAAGTATTAGGTATAGGGGTCAATATCTGCATACTTGACCTAACCCATATGCCTGACCTCTATATCTAACATGTACACTTGGCCTAAATTCTAGTTTTATATATTTAATTTGTAATATAATGTTATGCAATTAAAATCTTTATGTTTCTTTTCTTTTCTTTCAGTTGTGAAAATTCAATTGAAGAAAAATCTTATGAATTTTTATTTATATTTCTTTTGTTATTATATATATAAACATGTATATATGTGAATGTATATATTTACATATTTTATTTTTTATATAAACTTGTATTATATATATGAACTTATAGTTGTATATTAATTTATGTATTTTTGAATATATTTGCATTCAGATAAGTTGGGTAACAAGTATAAATTTTCAATAACTAAGTATTAAATATTAAAATCTTGCATCTATCATTATTTAAACCAAGTACAGTTATGGACAAATAACTGACCCATACATACTCATGCTCACCCCTATCAAAAACCCTACATCTCTAGAGCTGTATCCTCACCTTCCTCCTTCATCCTCCTCCTCCTTGCGGCTGAGCGGCAACTGACTCTCCACTTTGATCTCTGCAATTCTGTGAATCCCTAATGGTAAGCTCGCTCAATCTTATTCATTTGCTCCGAATTTAAGCCTAAGTTTTTACGTTACTTTCTTCTGTAGGCTCCAAAGAAGGACAAGGCACCCCCTCCATCCTCAAAGCCTGCGAAGTCTGGTGGAGGGAAGCAGAAGAAGAAGGTAGGAATAAGATTGGTTCTTCTACTTGGTAAATTTTCTTTCAAAATTTTAATCCGTGAAGTTGTGGCGTATACGAATGTCTTCGTTTTATACGATTTTATGTGTAGAAATGGAGCAAGGGAAAACAAAAGGAGAAGGTGAACAACATGGTTTTGTTTGACCAAGCAATATACGATAAACTTCTTTCTGAAGTTCCAAAGTACAAGCTCATTACTCCTTCTGTCCTATTTGACAGATTGAGGGTAAGATATGAGATTAACATGTTTTTGTTTTAGCCTTTTAGTGTATTGTTTTGATGTTTTATTAGAATTAGAACTATAGAATGGATTCATTGGTTCAAGTTTTGGTTAGGCTTTAAGATGAAGGAACTGTCAACTATTTTTTTACTTTCTGTTGCACATGGTGTTTTAATGCGCTTTCTATGATATGGGTGTGGTTGTTTGAGGAGATGGATTTGATTTCGACCTTAAAATGATTGTTGCAATTCAGTTTATCATATAGGACCTATTTCTTTTAGCTTTTCTTCATTTTCATTACATTGCTTGTGTATTTGTATAGTGCAGGATTCTTTGAGGAGGGTCATCTATTTGTGTTTTAATGGAGCTCCCTTCAATAAATATTTTTCTTCCCTAGCTCATAGTTGTGGCTATTTTGACCAAGCAAATTTTGGTTTATCTATTTTTTAAACAACCTTTAGGTTACCTTAAATAAATCCTCTCCTTGTTGCATCCGATTCATGCATTTGTTTTCCTCTCCTTTTTGCATCCGATTCATGCATTTGTATTTGGTTGCATTGTGTTTCTTTCATTGCCAATTTCTATTTGCAAATAACAATATTATTTGCTTGGGGGGAGAGTTGCCTATATTGCATGTTATTTTTTCTCTCTTGATGGTAATATGTTGTTCTCATGTTCTTCTACATTATCAGATTAATGGATCACTGGCATGATGAGCAATTAAGGATTTGATGGCAAGAGGGTCCATTATGATGATATCTGTTCATGCTAGTCAACAGATCTACACTAGAGCCACCAACACCTAGAGGTCAAAAAACCATTTTTGCAGTGTGCCTTGGATTTATTAATTGTTGCTATTCTTTCATGTTACAAAAAGTAATGCCTTCTCAACTCTATGATACTGGAATTGGCATACTTTCTTTACCCTATCTCCCTATTTGTTTCTTTACTCTAGTCAAAATTACTTACACAAATGTCTACTCCTACTTGTTGGATTCTTTCTTCCATAGAAAATAAAGACATCTACTAGTTTTCTTTATTTTGACATTTGGGGAGATCGAGATTGCATACTCTTGTTTTTTAACTCAAGGATTTCATGCCATTCACAAAAGGCCGGTTTTCCAATCTTAGTTCATTCTGCATTTACCATGAATTTGATGCTAGTAAATTTCTCTTTGTTGTTTGGATGATCTATTGATTTGGCTTCACCAAATAGAACCCAATTTATAATTGCATCAATTAAAAGCACGAGTAAAGGTGCAAATAAGGATTTGAACATTGTAATTTTTTCTATTTAAGGATGTAAACTGTCTCAGTTTCTAAAAAAGGTTACTAACTTTCAATTTTTTTCTAATTAAGGATGTCAACTTTGAGTTTTTTTTTTCTATTTAAGGATTAATTGATGGAGATGCTGATGTGACAAACGAATTTTAAACGGATGTGTTAAACGGAATGCTGATGTGTATAGACATAATTTTAATTTGCTGATGTGTTTGCTAACTAGACCAAAAAATTAATTAAGGAAAAAACAAATCAGATTAGTGGGCCCATTTATCTTGGAAGATCATATGACAAAGCAAAAAGGAAAATGGTGGACCCTAGAGTTTGACACGGTAAGAAGAATCCCTCCAAAGTCTTTTGACGTTTAAAGTTGATGATGTTCTCCCAACAACCAAAATAAAAGTGCCAAAGAATCCATGCTTTACTCTGATTCTACTGTCTAATTGTGTGGAGTACCAGGCTTGCTTTGAAGGACATTCTGTTGCTTTGTAGACTTGAAGTGTCTTTCTTTTCATCTTTTCAAGGTAAAATTTCATGAATTATTTGTTAAACTATTTTCAATCACGTGCAAAGAATGAGATTAGCAGTAGTTTATTTTAAAGTTTTATGAATCTTTCAAATAATTTATGTCCCATGTCATAAGTCTAATATTTTAATCCTTTATTGTGTTTTGTTC